CATTTCTTATTCCTATTTGATTTGTCTAGATTTATAATTGAAAAGATCCYATTGTGATCAGCTCTGCAGATGTTTCAGTGCTGAGAGAAGCAGTAGGGATTCAGATGATGCTTTTCCTGCCTGAAGCTCATTCTCACAGATGTGAGGCTACACAGAACTGCCAGAGAATGCGATGTAAACAGTCCTGGAGAGGAGCCTCCTCCCTGAATAAACACAATTCATGAGAGGAGAATGCATCTGAAGTTCTTGTACATKCATGTAGTCCTCAGGACCAGTGGTATTTGTTTTGTGGTTTTGCCGAAATTTCAGGGTGAATACTACATTTTGTCCGGTGAATTTTTGGAAGGAGATGTCACTTTTCAGAATGCTTTCATAGAAACTCTGTATTGTGTGAGAATTGCATCCATCTATTYCAGAAAAAGTCTAAAGAAATGTAAGGAATACAGTGATTTATGTGTGAAACCTAGTAATGGTCAAATTTCTATCTATAAATAAGGCTCTTCATTTCTCTGTCCCTCAATTTCTCCATCTGTAAAAGATCATTAATTATTTCAGAGACATAAAGAAAGGCTATTTTGCCAAAATTTGGTGAAGTAGTGTTTCCAAGTACTTGAGACAGTCACACAGAATCTATTCGAGAAGTGTAAAAAGATGAGTGAAAACAGAAGTGGAATAAACAAAGTGCTAAAACACTTTAATGAGAAATGCTGACAGTGACTTTGTTCATTTTGAGTGGCAATTCATTTCACAGATGTAATACCAGCCTTTGGGTCCAAATAAATTGAACACTGCAYGGATGAGAAACTAAATCAGCTTTTATGGTCCTTCTCACAGGACAAAACCCAGACTGCCTTCTACAAAGTCACTCCTCACACGAAAATGAGATGAGCTGAGAATTTCCTGAGACTTGAAAGAAATCTTCTGCTTCATCTCCCTCATKCCATGTATATTCATTACTCATTCTCAAGGAAATGTTTGAAAATCCTGTATTTTCCTAAGCATCTCTCAATTTTTCACTGATAACATACCTGTGGCTGTGCTGTGGATTTCTAGTTGTTGAAGCGCTTCTGGCACATTTGATATGGTGTGAGAGACAATGAGGAAATCGTGTGYTGCAGGAGAGATTGCCTTTCAAGATGCCATGGTGACAGAAGCCACCAGTTCAGTGAAGGTGATAATGGAAAAGGGAGATGATGTCAGGAATCCTCGGGCCACTGAATACGTTTTCAGCCCCAACTGTTACAATACTTTGGTGTTCACCTGTGCACTAAACTGCTGAGTGTCTTTGTTTCTGACATGGGTGTTTTTGCATCTGTCCTCCTTTTCTCCCTCTTTCTATCAGCCTGTCCATTCAGCAGCGTGTCTGTGTGTCTTCCATAAATCCTGACTTCAGAATTGCCAAGGAAGGMAAATCTTGTCAGAGAACTTTCCTGCAGAAATTTGCTCTTCAGTGAAAAAGGAAGCAGTGTTTAGTCCCTGACCACTTGTGGAACTGTGATCTGCGGGCAGCCTGATACAGTGAAACATAGAACCAAACTTTAATCCTGTAAGACAATGGCACTGACAAGAGCTGTTAATTATGTCACCGTCACCCATCACAACTCTAATACAACTAATCTGAAACTTCATACCATGTTTTCTCTTGTGCCAAGACTGTCAGCGCTTCATGTGCAACTATGAAAATACTCTGCAACCTCAACTGCRAAGAGAAATAGGCAACATGAAGTTCTGCTGTCTGTGGAAAGTAATGTTAAACCACAGTCAGCATAAAAACTATCAAAAAACCACAAAAGGGCAGACTGTGCAAATGTATCCACATTAATAATGGTTTCTTTTCAAATGGAACTGTTCTGCAGGTCCAGATGTATTACAAGGTGACATTTGACATCAGCCATGGCTTCATGGTTTKCCCCTTCAATTAATACAGATGGCTTTGTGGCAGCAATATTATTAATTTAAAATTCAGATGTCTGAGAATATGTGTATATGAAATATTCATATAATTTCTTATCTACCCTTTTGAAATTGAAGAGCATTGCTTCAGAGTGCACAGACCTGTGATTTTCTTTCCAAAGCTCTTTCCAATTTCTTTCTCATGTGGATGCATTTCCTTCTTCCTTTCTCTCCTATGGTCTCTGTGTCATGTCACATCTCAGCCCACCACACCATCTCATCTCATCTAATCATATGCTTCAAAAAAGCACACGACAGCCACAGAGAGCAAATATTCATAAAGGTCTCAAAAATACAACAACAAAAAGGGGCTTGAAATTTGATAATCAAAAGTGTAGGCTGAGTATCAGGAAATATTTGTGATAGTATGGAACTGGGGATACAAAGTGTTAGGCACTTAGCAGACAAATCCCCACTCACTTTAAATTAGATAGATAAAGAAAGGAATTATTATTAATATGCTAACACTCAGTAAGGCTCTCTCTAGACACAAAACATCTATCTGTCTATGATAAAAAAAAAACCAAACCCAAAACAAAACTCTCTTTGAAATGCTGCAACACCTCTGCTGCCAGGATTTGGCAAGGCAGAGATGTAACATCAGCATAGTGCCTTGTTGCAGGAGAGAATAATCTTTTCATTATACTGGTAATCTGAATTACCCCTGGAGAACAGAAAAGCTCTGCAGGACAGGGGGAAAATATGCAAATCCAAATATGCAAATCCAAAATAATTTTTTAAATTTTGGTTTTCATTTCTTCAGATTCTGTTAGCTTGCTTGTTGTACTGCTTCTTCCTATAATGTTGGGTTTTCCCCTTAAGATGCTACTGGACTGAATTGTCATATGCTAAAAGCTGAAATAGTGCAATAAATGCCAATATTTTATTTATGTTAGTCAATGAGCTGGCCACTGTATTTAGTAACTGTCAATGCCTCAACCTATGAGTGTAAGGARACAAGTTTAGAAGAGAAATTTACTATTACTTTTCATACTGACACCACCATTCCTTTTCAGACAAACATCTGTGTGGTGCACACCTGTGGTCTGTATATACACATGTATTTTGTGTTTATATATGACTGTACTATGAGTTCTTACATTTTTACTTCCATTTCTTTCCTGGGAACACCAAAATCTACTCCTACTGAAACGAACATTGTAGATCTTTCCATCCCATTGAGTCTTCAATGTTGTCCTTCAAAACTGTTACTGGTCCATCATCTAATTCCAATTGAGAAAGCATGAAAGTTTCCAGAAGAGGGTCACTTATGTCTCTATGTAGATGCTTAATAAAAGCAACTTTTCAGAGAGTTAGACATTTTTCAAATCAAATCTGCCACAGATGGTGGTCTAATCTTACTCTTGATTACTTCACTGTAAATACAGTGACATTTCATTGAAGCAAAGGCATTTTAAGTGAACTACTTTTATGAGGGAAAAAAAATCTGTGTAAATAGAGCCATTATGAGGCTGATGAACTGCTTTACATCCTACTCACACTATAAAATAAGATTGAAGTGGGACGTGAGCCTTGCACTGTGCACGATGAACTTCTCTTCACATGATGAATGCTAAGTAAGTGCATCCACTGGTTTGCCCTGATAATAGAGACAATATTTGCCCTGATAATAGAGACAATAAGTAAGAGCTAAATTAGAAACAGGACCTAAGATTAATGCAAGCTATTAATTTCCCCTTTTGTTTGTCCTTTCCAATGTTTGTAAACAACTTGGTTTTTGTTAGGCTTCCACCTGTATTTCAGTATTTGAATAGTTCTTTCTCTCCACACCTCCTTCCCCCCTAAATCAAGGAAAATTTCTCCTCCTGCAGCAAAATGAAATGCTGAAAACACCCCCAACCTTGTTATAAATTATGCCTGGCTGTATGACTTTGCAGAAAAAAGTCTGGGGGTACTGATGGACCACAAGTTGAACATGAGGCAGCAGCGTGTCCTTGCCACCAAGAAAGCTAATCCTGGGCTGCATTAGGCAGAATGCTGCCAGCAGAGGTGGCCCTTCCCCTCTGCTGAGCTCTGCTGAGGCACCCCCTGGAGTTCTGTGTCCAGATCTGGGCTTCCAAGAGCCAGAGAGGCACGGAGCTGCCACACAGGGTGCAACAAAAGGCCACCAAGACAATTTATGCACTGCAGTTTCTTTCCTGTGAGGTGAGGCAGAGAGGCCTGGGACTGGCCAACATATTTCATAGGCTCTTTCAGCGGTGTTCAGTGACAGAAAAAGAGGCAACCAGCACAAACTAAAACACAGAATGTTCCATCTGAACATGAAGAAACACATTTTACTGGGAGGGTGATAAAGCACAGGAGTAGGTTGCTTAGAGATGTGATATCTAGATTTGCTGCATTTTCAGTCATTTTGAGGCTCTAAGTCCAAAGCAGTTTCTTACTTTTAGAATTCTTTGTGGATTCACTTGTTTGTGTCTTATGTTCTCTCTGCTTAGTCTGTAAGTTCTAACTCCCTTCACATTTTCCTCTGAAGAATTTAAATCTTKCATTTGCTCTGTCTTTACTCAGCTATGAGTTGATTCTTATCAAAATAATTTTCTCTCTTTTTGAGGCAAACCCCCTAGGTTCCTCCACTGTTTTTGCCTTCAGCAAATAATTTTGGAATGTTGTGGGAATTTCAAATGAAGCGGTGGTGTGTAAGTGGAGACGTTTTTTGACACTGAATCCTCCTTCGGGTTCATTTGAATGSTACTTTTCCACCTCATGGTGAAAAATATTCCATCTTAGGCACTGGTAAACTACAAACTTGAAGAAAATGAAATCAGTTCTCCAGTTTACATTAATGGATTAGGGATAAATCTATACTTCTTTTTACCTATGCCACCATCTAAGCAGATGATTAAAGAAGACAGAGAAGATCCAAGAATGGGTCCTTTCTCTGACCTGGTATGCCAAAAAAATGAAAAAGAAGAGGAAATTGATGACTAGAACACTATGAATACAATTACTTAAGAAATAAGAGTAGTTCAGTATTGTGAGATTGTGACTATGATGGATCAATTTGAAGAAAGGACTGAAAGGGGTGCAYATCATTTATTTTATTTTTGTCATCAGATTAAAAGACCCGATAATTCACATGGTGCATTCCCATGTGAATGGGATCACAGATCCCAAGTGATGTATGGAAACAGTYGAGTTGCTGTGATGGAACACACACATCACAGCCCTGCACAACCCCAGAGCACAGTCAGAGTTATGTAACAAAAATTCCAGGATAATTTTACAGCACGGCCATCCAGACCCACGAAAACACTCGAACATCTAAATACCYGAGCCTGTGATCCATAGTTGCTCTAGCTGATCTATTTCAGTGAGGGGATATAGTTTGAGAATATCTTGACTGARTTATTTTAGATCCTAGAATACTGCTGCTGTGCTTACCCATCAGATCATACATACGAGACTTAAGAGTTTACCTCGTCTGGCTTTGCCCTGGCTGTACCTTTTMAGGGACCTGATGGGCACTCTCTCAAAGAAGGAGGAAAAAATAGATAAAATACAAAGCAATAGCCATGAACCAGCATTTGGCAGGTGGTAAGGTCTATCTTTGACATGGCCATTAGGGACACACAAGTTGTGGATCACTTTCATTTTTAGATGTTTTATATTTGTAAATTCCTAGATGCAATTAAAGAATTGTTATAGCAGTATAACCCAGAATTTGTAACTCYTCTGTCCTTGGATTTTCATAAAATGGAAGTCACAGGTTCATTCATTGTATTTAAGGAGAGCTGAAAACCCAGGAACAACTAGATGCTAGATTCTTCTGACAAGGCCCTGAACAAGCAAGGGAAAACTGTGTCTAGGGAGGAAGTGGCGGACATATTTTCCTTAATTCGGGCAATTCCTGTGAATACTTACTTTGAGATTCGGACAACAAAGCTTCCACAAAATTCTTATGTAGTCCAAACTTCACTTATGGATCATTTTATGGCCTATTAGATTGAAAATACTGATTAAAAACTGCTTAGCATTGTAAAATGTCAATATGAAGATCCATTTTTTGAAAACTCTCCTCTAAGAGCAGTGCTTGACAGCTGGGAAAAAAAAAGAGTGCACTTTCTATCTACATAAAATGGGTTTCCTAAAAAAACATTTACGTCAGAAGGATCAGAGTGTCCTGATTGAGTCAAAGAACTCAATTGTGAAAGGCTTACTGTGATCTGTGGGTGAATAAGCAGCGAACAGTCAGTGTGAGAGACYGGTTTCCTGTCCATGTAGAATATCAGTGAGACTGCTTTTGTCTGTTCTTCATATTCTCATCTTTGAAAGGAAGGCCAAAAATGCAATGAGGAAGAGAACCATAACAATGATGGGAGGACCAAACAAGATGTGTGACAGGGAGACATTTGAATATTTCATTTTTTAGGGCATAAAGAAGTGAATATGTGACCTAATTATGGTGGAAAATGCAGAAGTATCAGATTACAAACAGCTCTTTATCCAAACTGGGTARTGTACAAAAAGTGCCAGGCAAACAGCAATGAAAAATTATCACAGTCATGGGRAAAAAAAACAGTCCAAGGTATCTTGGAGATTCACTATTCCTGAATTAATCAAGATAAGATGCTTTTCTAACAAAAATTCTTCAGTAAAATGTAAATTAAACTCAACAGTGGGTCAAGAGGTGAAGTGTACTGTCCTGGAGGGTAAAGATCAATGTTCCTTCTTCTACCTTAATATTAGAGGCAGTAAGGTACATTGCAATTACTGTCTTTTGTAACAGAGCAACATGAATAGATCTATTTTTAAATAGCTTATTGCAGAAAGTGCTTTGTCATTCATATCTGTACAACAAGCTGACTTCTCTGAATAAACCTGATTTTCTTATTTTTAATCTCCTGTTCACTTGCAGAGTTAGAAGGGTTCAAAGAGGGCAAGAGTTTGTTCTCAGCAACAGAATTGTTTATAAATGATCAATCTGTTCCAGCTGTCCAAATGCATGGGCAGTAGTAGGTTTGGCAAAATACAATGAGAGTTGCTTAGATGCAATTCCAATTCTAGTTTTAGACAGCAGCCTGTATAGTTTCTAACATCACTGTAAACTGTAAAAAATCCAATCTTACTTAGTAAGGCCTGAATTTAATGAATTAGTTTTCAGAAGCAAACAGCTTTATCACTGTCAGCAAARCACACTTGGTCTTGTATAAGATACATAAATAAAAGGCCAAACTATCCGCTATTTGAGGCACAGATGCCAAGACACAGCACTCATGATTTGCTCTTGGAGCAGTTGACAAAAATACCACATTACTCTGTTCAAGGAACAGAGATAATGGCAGAAACCAGAAGGAAATCTCAATGTTTTCATGAATCCCTAYGTTTCAACTGCGAATATTTCAGGAAGAGAGTTTTCTCTTCACTCGGGAAAGAGAAACGAAACAGSCAAGCTCCAAGGCTTTTTGAGGGCAACTCTGCATTTCAGCACAGTAGGACACTTCAGTTCTGTATTTCAGCACACCAGGGGGAGCGATTCCTCTTTGAGCAGGTCCCAGTTACAGCTCCACAAGGAACCAGACGACTCGGAGGCTTTTCATTAGCTCAGAGCAGCACTTTCAGCAACACTCAAGTGGAACAGCTTCACACAGAGCACGATGACCTTGAATGCCACAACAAAATGTAAATTCTGAGAGGCGCCATTTTCTCCACATTGATTTGAAAAGTGAAGGATTAGACTGGCTCTTTGGTAGAGTAAGAAGTTTCCTCTTCCATGCTGTATTTTAATGATAGYCAAAGATTCTAAATTACCCGGTTTCAGGAAAGAGAAATAATCTTTTAGGACTTTTGTCCTAAACCTCAATCTACTGCCTAGCTGCCTCTCTGTGTGTAAGAATTGTGTCGCTGACTGCTGAAAAATCTTTTCAAAGGCAGGAAGGATCCAAGCTGGTTATCTTCACTTGGAGCAGCCCTCAGGTGGACTTGCTGGCTGGAATCCTGACCGAGGAAGATCCAGTCGTAGGGACAGCTCTACCCTTGTTTGTTTATTAAAGKTGAGTTCCTTGGTGGTGTTCATCATTTCCCACCACACCCACASGTTTCATTCAGCTTCATAATGCATGAATTGTCTGGGACTAGCTGCAGCAGCTTCTTTCATTCAAGATAGCCCTAGGTGATGAATATATTTGTGCTAAACAAGGAGCCTCTTCCAGCATTTCTCTCCACTAAGCAGTTTGTGCTCCCTCAATTAGCCCTAATGCAGTGTTGTTGAAGCATGCACTAAGATTACATCCTTCAATTTTAAACAAACAAACAAACAAACAAACAAGAAACCAGGCACTTCAGCCATTTCACCTGCACATGAATTAATGCATACTTGGGTGCACAGAAATCACTTTGTAAGTCACACTGTCATTGAGCTTTCCTTAAAATCATTTTAGGGACGGAAGAAAAATCTTTGCTTCTGTGCTGTCTTTGAACACTCTGGTGAGCAGGACCTGCTTCTGACAGAAACATGCCATGGCTTAGTGAGGCAGGAGCACACAGGCACGTAGCTCCTGGCTGAGAATTTCACTTGGCTGCCAAAGCAGCATAGGTGGGAACTTGCTCGCCCGATGTGTTCTCTGGCAGCACAGTACATTAACTGACATCCTGGTGCAGATCCAATTATCTGTCTGGGAGGTTGTCCAGCAACAGACACCAAAAAGACAGGTTCAAGGAACCTCATCAGGAATAATTACAAAACAGCTTGCCTTAAGGTGAAGTTTCTTCCTATTTCCAGACAGTGAAATTTGGTGTTYAAGCAGAAAGGACATTATTCTTTGAAATATCTTCTTTCTAGTTATAGGTATGACTCTTCTGAGCTTTCATACAAATGCCTAATGCCCTCAAGAAGGGGGCACTGATCCCTGTGCATTTGATTTATTCATTACTCTTATATACTGCCCATTATAGAAATCATATGGAGTAAAGGTAGGCAATAACTTCTTGTCTACCATTGCTTCTCTGGCAAAGAATACAGCTAAGACTTTTTGGGCATTGTTTCTCACTCTTCTGGTGAAGAGCAGTATCASGTGCCTAGGTGAGCCCACTCATTTCTCTTTTCAATCTCATTCCTACCTGTTGAGGGTGCTCATATACTGCAGGATATCCCAGATGACTGGGAAATAGAATGTAAAATTTCTGGTTTCAGATGACTGAGAAACCTAAGATCAGGGTATTTCTAATGCTTTTGCCACAACTGCCCTCCCTCCATGCTTGCAGAGTTAAGGAGTAACATGATGGCAAATAACACAAACTGCACTGCAACTTGAGAACCTTTGCATCCCAAACCATGTAAGAAAACAAGCACCTGAAAACAGGTAATAGAAAACTGGGAATAAAGAGAATGGAGAGACTTCTTAAYGAATAGAGCTATCCATTCCCATACAAATGTGATGCCAAGCCTGTCCCTTGTGCAGTTCTAAGTCTCATTGTACTAGAACAGGATTCAGACAAGGCTCCCATTTCAYCTCCTACAATGTATTTTCTGCATGYAACTTTCTAGGYTGAGAAGAAGCCACAGGATTTRATCTAGATTGCGAATCTCTCCACTAATCCTGACCACTCAAGGCATGGAAAAGAAAGGCTGCCTTGTTCCCCCAAATGGCACACAGAACTTCTAGAATACACTCATATATGAGGATGCATACATGCACTGTTGTCCTCTGGTGAATATATATGGAAGGTGCTAGAGACCACAGATTCCCCTCAACATCTTGTGCTCAATATGCTTCCTGAAGAGGACAACACTTGTTCTGTCTCAGATGCCGTGGGTGGAGCTGACAGTCAGTCAGCATACATGTGACTGGATGTGTGAGTATTACARGTTTCCAGAAACCCCTTAAAAAGCACAGACTGAAATCTTCTAGGGTTGGACTCCAGTCTGATGTGATTTGGGTTTTTTTTTTTTAATCTTCACACTCTCTTTATACATGAATGTTTTATTCATGTATACTTTTATTGTTTTTGAATGGACTTTTTTATATCTCAGAAAAAGCACTGCTGTTCTCCCTCTTCAACTAAAAAGAATTAACAATAATGTTACTCTTATGATGTAACAAAGAGCCTGAACTGCATTGGCTACTTAGTGCAACTATTCTGCAGCACCTCCTATCATATTATTGGACTCTTCTTTTTGGTCTTCAGCTGCTGGGTTGACTGCAGGAACCATTAAATCCATACAGGAGTAGTATCTGAAGAAGTTGCGATGTTCTAACAGCTGGAAAAATACACCAGGTTCATGTGTGTTTCACAGTGAGCCAGCAGATGAGCACAGACCAGAACWGTTGGGGTTATTTCCTCTCTAGACACAAAGAAGTATCATAATTGGGGTCTTGCTCACCGGGGCCATTTCTATTTCCCTTCCCATGTGTTGATGAGGTAGACAAGTGCATAGTTTATGAGTTYTCCTCTCAAGCTTAGGCTCATAGGGACAGAGAGATACAGATCTTGAAGCAGATCTTTCCTTAAGCAGGTACTAGTCTGTCTGACGGGATCCCAAGAACATTCTTAGCCCTTTTTTAAGGACTGAAGTGACTTGTGGGGATGGAATCATTCTTGACAAAAACTTATGGAAGAGTTTCACATCCCTCATTCAAACTATCTGTTTGGAGTTGACTCCTGCAGGTCTGCATTTTCTTCAAAAACAATATTCAAACAACTGTGCCYAATGGCTAAGGTGAGAAAAAGAGGAATTATTTTTCAACAGCAAAGAGCTTATGATTTTTTTGTTAGTCTTTTCACYGCATGGGGCTCAGAAGAGAACGAAACCCAGGTTCTGCGTACTTAGGATCTCGGAGTATCAGAGCTTAACCTCTCCTCACAAGAATGGGCTTGTGAGAACCAGAACCTATTTRTTTCCCTCTCCATTTGCAGATCCTGCAGGACGGATTCTAGGATTCGTTACTWATCCATTCTGTGGCAGTCCCATAAACAGAGATGGACTGTTCCCCACATCAGAACAACAGATTAGTAATTCCCATCATGAAGCAGACCCAGAACTGCACACGAAATAGCACTGAATTTGGAACCCTTTACTCTGAACCTCTTTACCAGGTGACATCTGTTTTTGCTTACCACATACTGTGCACTAGCTGGAACTTCAGTTCCGAACTGAGCTGGCATGCCAASTGATAGCCTGATGCTCATCTCCATCTGAGGAATAATCTCTCACACCACGATGGCATTCTTCTGAAAAAAATGCTAATTTTTTGTTGCCTTTATTATGCCTTTGCAGCTTTGCTGGGCTCTCAGCCATAAATAAAGCCTGTTGATGACTTTGTGAAGTTGTCAGATACCTTTTGTTGGCACACAAGAGGCAACAGGTGCTTGTGATCTGTCCAAGCCATTATTCCATCTCCGCCCCATGTTATTATAACCTTCCCACCCCAAACCCATTCCCAATGTATGACGTCAGCCACATTTAATTGTCACCAGTCATTTAGCTCTGCTTCCAAATCACAGCAAGGCTTTGTTTTGTTCATGGAACAGGACATGTAGAGTGCACTTTCTGGGTGCATTAAGTCTTCAAGTAGTATACTGACGTCTTTTCCTTACATTGAAAATCCCTCTGAACTCCCCCAGAACCTTTCCAGAGTTTGAGACTAGGAATAAGGATGATGTAAACATCACACTTCAACTGGTTCAAGTTGATTCAAATGGACTCGCATCAGCTGGATGCTGTTTAGAATCTTCTTCTGGTGGCCAACGAGGGTGATGCCAATGCGCTGGATGTCTCTGCAAAAGAACAGAGGACATGGAAGTTGTTAAAATGGACTGCTTGTTCTGAAAAGTCTCAGTCCATTTTGCTGGAGATGCAAATCAATGTGTATGGATATGTGCGTGTGCCTGTCCGTGCCTGAGAAAAGCTGACAAGGCTTCTGCTTTTGCTTAACAAATGTGTGTGGGTGGAGGGGGTGTTGGCAGAACTTGGTAGGTACAAAAAGAAGCAGAARAAGTGGGCCATGAAAAGGATCAGAGGGCTGATCTCCTATGAAAGAAACAGTTGGAGTTGTTAGCCAGAAGAAGAGAAGGCTMCAAAAAGATCTTTTCCAATATATAAAGGGGGCTTACCAGAAAGATGGAAAACAACTTTTTACCAGGCCCTATAGTGACAGAACCAGGGAGAGTGATTTTAAACAGAAAGGGGGTAGATTTAGACTGGAGATAAGGAAGGGTGGTGGGACACAGATACAGGCTGCCAGGAGAAATTGTGGATGTCCCATCCCTGTAGGCATTCATAGTCAAGTTGATCAGTGCTCTGAGCAGCATCATCTAGTGAAAGGTRTCCCTGCTCATGGCAAGGGTGTTGGACAAGATGATCTTTAAAGGCTCCTTCTAACCAAACCATTCCATGATTCCAAGAGTGTTCCTTTTCCTGGATCCTTTCTCCTACATTTTACTTCAATCCAGTATATGGTGCGGCTGGTTCCACACATCTGCTTAAAAGTGGTTGTTATCATCTGTGCTCGCTGTCATGAACATTCTGATGTAGCAGGCTCTCAGCAACACTGACAATAAGTTTTTGGATGCACATTGGATCAGTATCAGTGCTCATAAAAACAGATTACAATTGTATCAAGGCATGGATGGTGTCCAGAGGCCCTAGTGATATGCAAGGAACAGTAGCTACTTTGCTTTGGCTTCCCTCTCCTTTTTCAGGTGTACATATTCTCCATATAGCCAATTCCTCACACTGCTTCCACTTTCTGCATGGAAAACTCAGTGTCTGGTGCTGTTGCTCTTTGTCCTGCTACTCACTCGAGCGTCATGCGTGATATGACATCGAATGTAGCCAGCCCAGCCTGGTCAAAATTCTCCTTGTAGCGGCCCATCTTGATAGCATCCAACCACTCGTGGGCATTGCTGAGGGAAGGGAAATCTGGAGGACAGTTGCTCAGGAGAGGCTGAGACGGTCTGCAAAAGAGGCAGATTCTAAAACCCAAGTTATCAACTTCAACTGACCACACTGGTAAAGTAAGGATTATGAGAGGCAGAGAATGCAGCCTCTGAAGAGGACAGAATGAAGAACAATGACATTGGTTCTTCATGCCCTGACTCCTAAAGATCCACCTTCATGTGCTATTTCTATGCTACCCATGTCTCTTTTTCTGCTCAAGAACAATTAACCAACCCAAGGAACTGATTCTCCCTTCCCATTGCCCATACTCTCTCAGGCACATTCTCGTTGCCCAAGGTGCTTCCACACTTTCTTGGTCTAGATCTGTTACCCAGGAGCTGCAGTGAGGAGGTTTCTGAAAGAGACATTATTTACCTTTCTACCTCTGTGTCTAGATCTCCCTCTCCTAGATGCTCTCTTTGGGTCAGACAGTCACCGGTGAGACAATGAGTGCATTGTTTCAGCTCCAACACCCATCAGATAAAAGAATTGCAGTAAAATGCCAAAGAAATGACTGTTTACATATGGCACTTGCTCTTTTCCTCACTATCTGAATCTGTCCCAAAGCTGTAAACTTTAGTAAACTGGGTATCACTAGATACTTTTCCCCTCCCCCAGCTGTGAAGTACATTCCATAGAGACAAGATTTATAACCACAGGGAAAAACCCTCCAGGCCAGCAGGATGTAATTTCGTCATCAGCCCAGCAGCCAACTAACCTTGGCACCATTTATCCCTCCAGAGACTTCTCCTTTGCTGACCTCCTGCCTCTTGTTCCATCAGACTGCAAAATGCAGTTGGAAAAATATGGGATGCAAACTGCAGTTCTAATTATTCTTATCTAGAGACTTCCTTCCCTCCATAAACGAAGGTCTTCCTTTCCTTCATCATCTCTTGYGGTCACACAATATGGTGTGGTCACAGAACATCTCATGCAGCTGCACCCAGATGTGTCCTGCCCTTCATTCCCTATGATCTCTCATTCATCCTCAGTGCAATTCACTGAGATTTATCTCCTGTCACATTCAGCACTCACAACTCTCCATTAACTGAATCAGTATATACAGTTCTTCCAACATGCTTCCTCTTTTTTTTTCTCTTCCTGTTTGTTCCCAGTCTCAAATGAGAGGGTCAGAAAAAAACCCCCAACTATTTAGCCGGATTTATTGCTTTCTTTTCCTCATGATGCCTACTGAGACAAGTCCTCTTATTTTGCATTAAATCCACATCTCACCTGCTGGTCCCAGTGCCAATGGCTTTGAGAGCTGATGGCTTGCGAATCATTTTATCCAGGGCACTGACTATTTGCTCAAATTTGGGTCTCTGGACCCGCTCCTTCTGCCAGCAGTCAAGCATCAGCAGGTGCAAAACAGTTGGGCAGTCTGGGGGTGGTGGCAGGCGATAGTCCTGGTCAATGGCATTAATCACCTACAGCAGAAAAAGAACAAAGCTTTACCACAGCTGGGAAAACAAAAGACCAAAGAGCTTCAATCACTCAGTGTGTGTGGCTTTCTTCAGCTCAAATCGATACAGGACAGAGAGGCAGATATACATCCTCACCAATTCCAAAACTTACATCCTGATTGGACATGTCCCAGTAAGGCCTCTCACCGTAGGACATCACCTCCCACATGACAATGCCATAGCTCCAGACATCACTGGAGGAGGTGAACTTGCGGTACTGGATGGCTTCAGGGGCGGTCCAGCGGATGGGGATTTTGCAGCCCTGGGAAGCAGAGAGAAAGCAGCYAGAATGTGGTGAGATAAGGACTGCTTGTGAAAAGAACATCACTGAACCAATCAGATGTCAGCAGCATAACACAACTCAGAGCACGGGGTGACAGCCCCATTGATTCTGTCTTGGAAACACTGCTGGTTTCAATTCATACTATGTTCAAGGTTTCCACCGTACTTTACTGAGAAGGATAAATGAGAGAATCATGCCTCCTCACTGCGACAAATCCCATGATTTTATACTTTCACAGCTTTACTTTGCAGCATTTGAAAGTGGCATATAGCAAAATCCTCCTGAGTCACAATCATTTGGAAATCAAAAGCCATTTAAATAATGCCAAACTGCAGCACTAAGGACAGACAGACCTAGCACTGCTGGCATTAACTCGTTTCTCTTTCCATCTTGACCTCTCTGACTGCAGGTCTGACTGCAGGTATGACCTGCATCATTCAGGTGCTGGTTCTTCAAAATGCACAGATCTAAGAATTGTTTTACTTTTCAGTGACTGAATTCTTCATCCCCTTCTTTTTCAACCCACCTATTACACTCCCACCCCTTTTGCAGCATGTGTGACAGGTGTCACAACTTCATAGTCAATAAACTCATTTGATGATTGGTTGTAAGCCCATAAATACACGTAGGCAATTTATCTTTTCTGTAGGAAAAAACCCAACTCTTTCATCAAAAAGTGGTAGTACAGGATTTCAATCTCTCCTTCAGCCTTTTATGCTTCCTATCAAAGCCTAATGAAAGGGGGAAGATAAAAGCTAAATCAGGCTGTGAGGTTTGACCTATTCACCATCACACCACAAAGAACAGCACTGAGACTTCACATGGCARACTGGCTCAGATACTCAGTTATTTTTAATTTTTACTGCTTTGGAACAAATATCCCACAGGATAGAAGGCTCTACTCCACTGTTCTCTATGGTCTTACGATGGAATAAAGAGGAGGAACACAAGAAAAAATTCTATCTGTCAGCACTGCAATGACTCCCTCCACAGCAGTAACTCACCAGACCTCCAGTGTAGGTGGGATTTGAAGCATCATCCTCCAGGAAGCGGGACARCCCAAAGTCTGACACCTTGCACACCAGGTTGCTGTTGACCAGGATGTTCCGAGCRGCCAGGTCACGATGCACGTAGTTCATGTCGGACAGGTAGCGCATRCCGGCTGCAATCCCCCGCAGCATTCCCACCAGCTGCAGCACACTGAACTGCCCTTCCTTCTGCTGCAAGGGAGCAGGGAAACAGCCTCTTGTGACCACAGAACACCAAGYCAACAGGGGACACGATCAAAGAGCAAGGTAACAAGGTGGGTTTATGAAGTCAGAGAACATACATCTTAACTTCAGCCAAAATCTGAAGTGCAGGGACAGCAAATGAGAAAGGAGGGTGGGCTTAAAGCAATGAATCTCAAATGAAATCAGACACTGGTGATCTTTTCCTGAAAGCAAATCTCTCTTGTGGCCACATCCTCCCTTAGCACCCTACACCTAATCTCGCTAACTACTAAAATGGTTAAATGAATGTGAGCATACAAATATGCTTTTAGTAAGATTTTTACATTGGATTCTATGCAATTCTACTCAAGSGGTTCATGTGCCCTTCAAATTTTACCTGCCAAAGCATCTCTGGCTGAATTAGCACATGAATCAGCAAAAAAAGAGAAGYGAAGCAGCTATACTACATAGATTGTCCATATTTGTGTTTCATTACTCAAACACACTAAATCCAAAAATAGCTCCAAGTTTCATTACTTCATTACAAYGTTAAAACTTGGAAATAACTTGTGAAATAAAGTCTGTAAAACATTATTAGAAAGGAAAAATCTGGAACCTGCACATAAGCAACTGAAAGGGTGTGTACAAAGATAAACAATTTTGTACTGTTTACATTAATTATTGGAGTTGGAGAAGTCTAAAACACAGAAGGAATTTTAAATGACTGTTAAGTCTTTGAAATCTTTTCACTATGTTGGCCCAAAACCACTTACTGTGGTAATTTGCTATCATTTCTACTGAACCTCAAGAGGGCAACTGAGGGCTTGGAGAGATAGGAATGAAGAGGAAGGACGGGCAGAATTATCAGATCTGAGACTGGCACACAGCAAGATGAAGAGGTTAATGGTTGTGGGAGACTCTGTGGTACCCTGAGGAAGGAATCCAACGATCCATTCTCCATGAACTCTGTGACAATCATGACCGGTCGGCTCTTGGTGACCACTCCCTCCAGGTGGATGACATTGGGATGCTCAAACTGCCCCATGATGCTGGCCTCGCTCAGGAACTCCCGCCGCTGGTCCTCTGTGTAACCTGACTTCAACGTCTTAATAGCGACCATGTATTCCCGCTTCCCTGGGTGCTTCAGGCGCCCAAAGCACACCTCTCCAAACTCTCCTGTCAGGGAGGGAACAAACACACATCAAGTAAGGGGACACAGCAGTGAATTTTAGTCAGATGGACTAAAGCATTTTACTGTGGGCAACTCCAGGAGCTGCTTGGAAATGGGGTTACTAGAACTGTTTAGATTTAGGCAAAGTTTTTGGTGAAGGTTGGAGACCACATCTTCAGGTTTCAAATGAGGAGCTCTGAGTCTTCAAAGGGTRTTTTAAACTTGGTTTAGAGACAGCATCTAAGGATTAGTTGGTTAAAATGAATTTTGGTAAAAATTAAGATTTAGGTATCCTGGGACATTTGATGTGCCATGGATCCATGGATCCATTTCAGGCAGTAGCATGCCAGATCTCAAGGTGAACATSAAGACACTTTAAAATCTGCAGTCTCACAATACCTGATCCAATGACCTCCTCAATCTTGATGAGGGACACGTCGATCTCCTTGGCAAATTCTCGAATGGCTTCATTGGGATCTTCATAGGTTGAAGGATCAATGTAATACTTCACTCCAAGCCCTGCAGKGGGGGAAACAGCCCAAAACATTGCCAGAATCAAACCCTGAAACACACAGGTATTAATGAGTCCTGAAACGAGACAGGGCCTTGCCATCTGTTGCTCAAGCACAACTCACCTCGTGCACCGATATACTGCTGCAGGCGGTCTGTGTATGGAGTCTCTCGCCTTTTACTGCAGGACACAAAGGAAAGGAAAGTCAAAATACACACAAGAGTCTCTCATCCAATGCTGGGGCAGGCTTCTCAGTGCAAGGCTCAAAGAATCCTTGAAATTAGGGGTAGAAGATGGGTTTTAAGATCCTGCCCATCTCCTGGTAACCAGTGCATGCTTGTTTTCTTTGTGGTAGTTTTTACACCACCGTTTGCATCCCCACTTTGGAAATGACAAACGATAGGGCCTCCACCACTACCCTGAAAAAAAAAAAATTACAGTTTAACATTACTGCCTTGGAAGTTTTCTTGCTATTCAGGCCAAATTTGCATTTAAATTTCAKGTAATTACAACAAATTATTCTTTTCAATTATAATCTAAGCCAACTCCTGTGATGCCTTTCATGTTCTTCAAAAACATTCTAGGAGCCATTTACTCTAACGCTCAATATGTATAGATTTTCCCCAATTATTTTTCCGTCTGGCTTTGTTTAACAGCATTTACTTTGGCCATTCTTTCCATAAGTATGGTAACCAAACCAAACCACAGAGACCCAGACAGATGGAAATRTGTTCCGCGATGTGATTTCTGCATGTGTAGATCAAAACAGGTATGGTCTTTGTTATGTGATGTTTATTGCATGTATGCATCTAACTTCCAGTAAGCATAGATCCTTCTCAGCACAGGCATTTCTCAGATTTTACTCTCCTTCTAAATGTGTATGATTCAAGCATATATTTCCCACACAATTAATTATTTTAAATTTAATTTCTAATTATTTTAGGTTTCATCCTATTCTTCGTTTGCTCTAAATATATTTTCCATTTTCAAGCTACTTCTTTTGTTCCAAACAGTCTCCTTTTTTTAGTTTWAAAAAAAAATGTACAATTCATGCTGGTTTCCAATTATCCTATTAATTAGACCAGATTGTAAGTCAAACCCTACAGTATCCTGCAGTACCCCTGCTGTCTGCATGGATTTGTGTCAACTCATATGTTTTGCTGTTTCAGCACGAGACCTTTTAGCTGCTGATTCAATTAGCATTTGAAGACAAAGTATCATGAAATATTATGTTACTTTTCTTTATGAACATAAGTAATTCTGACGTTCTAACAGCTAACTGTGTTATTCTTACTTGTCAGACTTTTTTCTGAAAGTCCTGCTTTCAGAGGACTTTTTTCAAAACCACAGACAGTTCTACCTTCAAAATTTTTTCTCTTGTGCAAAGAAATTGGCTTTAGTGGGGGCCTATACCTAAGATATCTAATTCTGTGGCTGAAGCCGAAAATCAGGCCTACATTAATTTTTTTACAGGTTATCTAACAAACTAATTGCCTTCCATATAAAAATCCAACAAAACAATTAGCAAAAATAGGTATTTTACATTGCATATTGCCTGAAAAATGTGAACCAACAATTTATAAAAACAAGTTAAAGTCATAGCATTTGACTCTGCATATGTTCAACCTTTTAAAGAACTACTCATTTCATCTGGTGTTCCTCATTTTATGCATCTTCAAACTTATTTTTCTTATCAAGGACAAATTAAAAATAGAGATTTTTTATCTCCACTTTTTCTGAAAAACTGTCTATTAACTGCACATAATTCTTTAAGTATAAATGAATGTAATTTTTACGATATTTCCTCATATGTATATTTATAGATGCCATTAATGTCTTCCCCCAACACAGTTCTGGTAATATTAATTTATTCTGGGTTTGGGTTGTTTTTTTAGAAAAATATATGCTTTATTGAGTTGTGCACATAATATCACATTTCCAGCTGTAACAAGAAATTGTGTTTTTAACAGTTCAAAGCTACAAAAGGAGGCAACATTTTAAATATAACAATGTTTGATAATTATTTTCTTTCCAGATAGAAAAAATATTAAAAGAGAATTTACACAAGAGTAGAAAACAAATGTAGAAAGTGGAAGAGAACAAAAAAGAAATCATTAAAACTAGAAGCCATTTTTTAAAGTTAAGTAGTTTATACATTTTTTTATGTCAGTAGAAAAAGCTAAAAAGTCCCTCTTGTGCAGAGGCACATTAAGGCAAAGATACAGAAATCCATTACTGACAATCTAGGGGATTAAGTTCAAACCTCAGTAAATTCAAGGAGCAGGTAATGACTGTTTCTTTTCTTCAAATAACAAAACCCCCATTGTTTACTTTTGTACCTCTACAAAAATAGCAGCCCTTACTTTTACCCTCTTTTAAATTTGTCCTTTTTTTTTTTTTTTCTGTAACAGATTACCTCTACAATCTCTTACATGCCCTTTATTCATTCCAAAATGGAAAGTGGTATTTGCTTTCTTTAACCTATATTTTATGAGCTAGTGTTCCACAGAATCATTGGGGTTGTATAGATTTTATTCTTCGGCAAATGAGCCCTTGTCTCTCGGCCCTGGGTAAAAGGGTATTTATCACCTTCTAAATAACTGGATAATGCATATACTTATCCTTCCAGTCCTTCTCCACTACATTGTTTCCTTCTCCACTTGCTTGCCTAAAATGCAATTTACAGCTCCTTCTTTACAGCGATGCATTTAAATACCTTTGAATATCAGCTCTGAAATGCTTTCCTTGTGCTCATATTGCTAACTRGCCAAATATCAGCTAAGCACATGAGTGGTTTACCAAAGGAGAGGCTCCTCAGATAGGAGCAATGGGGCAGGATCTTTTCTTAATTAAGAGAGTGGCATTTCAAGGACATCTGGATAAATGCAGATCAGGCAGTTTCCCTTGGGACGGGGTTATGTTGCGGGGGTTAGAAAGTTCCACTGTCTGAAGTGCACATGAGCAGGTCAAGGAATTCACCTCTTGAAGATGATGGCAAGGATGGCAATGGCAGCAATTACCAAAAAGGCCAGACCCCCGAGTGCTGAGCCCACGATCAGTGGCAGTCGGTCCTGCGCCATCTCCGAGCGCTCCCCTGGAAGGAAGACACACAGACACACAAATACAGAGGCAGAAACTGTGAAGAGTTTCCCTTCTTCTCATCTCACCCCTAATTCCACTCCTACCAGCCCTTGGCTCCCCAACCCCTGTTTCTTCATGCTTTCCTTCCTATATCTGAAAAGCCAGTGCTTCCTCTGAATCCACTTTTTCTTCCCCTGTTCCACTGACACAGGCCAAGCCACTTAAGTATAGTTTAGCTCTAAACATGGGCTGCAATCCCATCATCCCCTATTAATTTAGCTTGCTGGTGACATACTTGAGTACCTTTGATCCATACCAACAGGATGGTGATCCTGCCTCAAGGCAAGCTTCTGCACATATCTCTGTGTCCCATCCACCTTTGTGTCCCATGTCCCACCTGTCTTTGAGACATTCACAGAGCTTCCAGCTGCAAGAAGTTTTGTGACAGCTGGGCACCAAACTACAGCAGGGTATAGTGCTGTGCACTGCAATATCCCCCTAAGGAGATTTTTACTGGCACATTCTGCACCTGGTCAGAGGCACATTGGCAACAAGGAGCAGGGTTGGCGAGTGTGGCAGGAGCATAAACAATGCCCTCGAACAGCATGAAGCTCCTCTGAGTAATCAAATCTGCATGTGCAAGTTATTATACACAGAAATACAAGCTGAGTAGGAGCATCAAGCAGCAGTCCTTGAGAAGATAAGCCAATACAATCAGGGACACCACAAGTGAAAGATGATTGTGTGCAGAGCTTGGTACGAAATGGCAGCACTTACCTCCTGTTAAGGTCTGGAAATACATCTTCCCGCTGTAAGGGCCATAGCCGACGGCTGTCCTGGCGCGCACTTGGAAAGCGTAGATCTTGCCTGGGCTCAGGCTGGATATGGTGGCCATGTTGGTCTCACTAGTTAAGGTCAGGGAATTATCCTCATCTTCTGCCTGTGAATGTCAATGACCAAAATGGAATGTGAAACTTCTGCCTACACTGCTCGCTCTGCTCATCAAGGCATGATAGTTTCCATGTCAACCCAATATTCCTTGAACCTCTTTTAGAGCCTCCCAACAACAGCTGCTATTCCAGACCTCAATTCCTTGCACACTACTCATTCCTCACTGCTTTTCATTCCCTGAGGCCTGGGCTTCCCACAGAGCCCTGCTAAAGACTCAATCTAAACAAGAGTGAGAGACAAAATTACTTTATCCTGTGGTTCACTTTCTACAAAATCCGTATGCATGTACTCTCCTAGGAGAATTCAGAGCAAGAACACATGTAATGCTGCATCCAGGCAGCTGCTAGACATGTTATCACAAATAGCAGTCCCTTTTACCTCTAAAAAACAGTAGCCCTGCAAAATCCTGCAGAAATATTTATGTGAAAGACCAGTAACATGGAATGGGAGTTTGAACAGCCCCACACATCTCTTGCCCCTCAAGTCACATGGATTACGAGTCACAAGACATGGGAATGGAGGACAACTTCATGCTATAATTCCAGCTCACAAAGAGATATTTGCYACTCAGTGAATTCCTCCTCATGAAATTTCTTAGAGATGTCTGTCCAGGCATAAAAGGGGCATGAGACTTCTCCTCACACACACACGACAGACTGGCAGTGAGTCCAATACAATAAATGTATTTAGAAATTTCAGCTCCTTCAGCTGTTACCTGTGTCAGCTGATGCTAAACTTATTGTAAGCCACAGCTTCTTAATATTAAACAAGTGTCTTCTCTTTTTAAAAATTTGCATTGTCCCTAGGTGTTTCCAAGCTGCGAAATGCAGATGGGCTGATGTCAGATGACATGTACATCACAAACTCCTGGTGTTACTAAAATTTGTTCTTTCCTCATAACTGAAGCATTTTGCTCCACCTTGTCCATCCAGATGCAGGGGTACATCTCCCAACAGAAAGTGCACAGAATCAGACCGAAAGTGCACAGAATCACTTTTTGCTCACCTTGTCAAAGTAGCGSAGCTGGTAATCCAGGATGATCCCATTGGGCTGGTCCGGCTGAGGCCACGACAGTGTGATGCTGTTGGTAGTGCGACTCACCTGATGCATCATGGGGACAGCAGATGGGACTGGAATAAACGACAAAAAGGAGAGATCGCAAAGAGATAAGCTTAAAAATGAACTATAAAGGAATATTCATTATGATGAGTTAAAAAGTTAGGTCAGCTTTTCCTTTAATTTTCCTTAATTTGCATGATGAAATTCTTCGTAAAATCACCAGAAGAAATCCAGGCACAACTACTCTGCTGGCAGTCACAGTCATTGACAACTCAGACAAAAAGAAAATGAAGAAACTCACATCCAACTGATTATGCACAGGAGTTAAGAAATGGTCTATATTGTAGCTGGAATATAATTCTGATCTTCAAATGGGCAATTTTTACATGCAAGCTGAGAAGGTCGTCCATGCCACTGCTTTGTCTTAAGATCATGCTTGGACAAAGAACGGGACAGTGGTCAGAACAAAAGCAGATCATGTTACTTCTTTTCTGCTTCTCCCCCAGACTATAATTCTTTTCCTGAGGGGGAAAAAATCAAGTATGGGCTACCAGAGCAATGGAGGCCTTGCACGTGAAGCTTTCTGGAGAATGGAAATCCACTTCTACCAGAACCATGTGCACATTCATGCAAACTCTCCAGGTTCATGCAGAAGTTAAGAGAGTATGAGGTTTATCTTAGGAAGAGATTTCCAAGAAAAAAATTCAGGATAATTTTAGGAGGATTTTTCAGCCTGCCACAAAGCTCTTCTCAAGTTTTGCGTTCTCTTTGCAAACAAAATGTCATGTTGCCAAGAAACTTACAGGTAAGCAGCTAGGGAATCCTCATTTTCCTAACGCATGCAACATTTTCAGCAACATTTAAATTTTCCAGTAAAAGCATGCCAATGAGAAGCTGCCACCAAACCCCACTGGTTTTACAAAACAGACATAAACTTCCTTGATGTGAGGAATGAAGCAGAGACATTTGGCAAATGATCAAAACCTGCAGAATAGCATCTTCTTCCCTCATTAATTGTGCAAAAGATAAAAGGATTTCTTTTAATAACAAGATAAAATTATTCTGAAAAACATATTTCAGATGGGCTTCAAACAGCTCAGGCAAGTGGGAACTAATTTAAAAATGTAAATGAAACAAAAATGTAGGAGTCTAAGCAATAAAATGCTTTCTCTCCTCTTTACTCCTTTTATTTATTACCATTGCTTGTCCTTCAAACAGGACTAAATGACTACTTCACCTGCCAGTGAGAATGTTGTGACAAATGAAAGAGAGCAACCATTAACCAAGACCATATGGAACATTTAAGATGCAAATGAGTAACTCTGTATTTAAATGTCAGGAGGTAACTGGTCARTGAACACTTGATCAAGACAGATTCTGCTACATTTAATGTTACAAAAAGTTTAATTCCCTTTGGCTAAGACATAAAGCAAACACACAGAGGTGCAAACCTAAACAGACAGCCACATGACCAGAAAACAGCTGACTTTCTTCTAGTTCTGGACTAAGATTCTGCAGAATGATCAGAGTTAAATCTTCCCTCAATTCCTCTCCTTTCCACCTTCAACAGTTATCTGTCTCTTGCTTCTCACTTCTTCCCAATCCCCATTTTTTTCCCCTGCCTGAAAGAATTAATCAAACAAAGCAATGACAAAAACCTCACTCAAGTGTATCTCAACAATGTGCCAACAGCATTCTAGAATGTTCCTATTATCCAGACATATCCTAGAATGTTCCTATTATCCAGTCCATCACTCAGGGTAATCAGATAGTGGTGGTGGGGGCAACCAGGATAATGCAGTCTGTTGTATTAAAAAATAGTAATTTCAGTGATTTGTACCTAATAAGCAGACACTACTTAGGGCAAAAGCCATTAAAAACTCTCAGAAATAAAACCAGCTATGAATCACTGCAGGGCAGGTTGTCTTTAATCTGCCTCTCTGAGACAGCGTTTAGATTTTGATACATGATTGTCTTTCTTTTAAGGACCTAAAAAAATTATGAAACACTGGCCAGGGAGCTCTTCCATCACTTCAATTAAAAGGTATCAAGATTTCTCCTTTGAAAAATTTCACACTGACGTGATGTGAATCACATCACTAATACTAAGGTGATGTTTAATGTGAACATAATTCTTGGTGGAGTTAAGTACATATTTCTGTCAGAGGTGTATTACAAGGTTATTCTCTCAGCCTTAATACATTAGGAAATATAAAGTTCAAGATTTTACATCTATATACATTTAAAGAACCATATCTCTGCTTCAATAGAAATGYTAGATGAGTATTTTCCCTAGTTTGCATGCCAGCTATCAAAAATTATTATAACAGAACTTTGCTTTCAAAGCTGTGTTTTGTATACTCAAATGTGTCCAGTTCTATAACAATCTGTAGGTTTTATTCCCTCTTTTCTTTTTGCATGGAGTTTATAGACATAGACATGTCAGATCCCTGTCTAATGGCAGCTGAAATCAAGGGCCTGACTCAATTCAGTCTGGGAAGTTGGACTAGATGATCATTGTAGGTTCATTTCCAATTGTTCTATTCTATTCTATTCTATTCTATTCTATTCTATTCTATTCTATTCTATTCTATTCTATTCTATTCTATTCTATTCTATTCTATCCTATCCTATTCTAATTTACTGCGAGCAAAAAAACATGCTAAGAGATCAGACCTCTAACTAAGATCGAAAAAGCAGTGCTCTCTGTATACAATTTAAATAACAGCAAATATATGGAAAATTCTTGCCCCTATAGACCTAGTTAAAGCTGCCGAACAGTCCAAACAACAGAATGCCCAGATTCTGTATTGTGTGGGTTGTCAGTTGCAACTCTTCTACATTGCAGGACAAATTTTTTCCTGGCAGCAGACACATGCCTGCAAGACTAAAAATCTATCTCAATCAACAGACTAGGTGAGGAAGGAATGTGAAGCAAGTGCAGACTCATGTAAAAATACACAGCAATCCCCACTTGTGCAGAGCACAGCCGAGTGCCATTCTCAGCAGACCATGAACATCCTTGCCATGTGACATTCAACCCATATTTTATTCCATGACAATACTTCAGGAGAGCCAACATGACCCCTTTGTGGTTCTGCCTGGAGACGTCTCATGGACTTCTGGAGGGAAGAGTGACTCAAAAAAGCTAGTTCATGTGCAAAGCTTACCTGCTCCAGATGCAAAAGCAGTCCAYCCCAACAAGCAGGAATCCAGGCACAAAATGCCAAAAGGCCTGCATGTTCGAACAAGGAGCTGCTAGCTAAACTCAGGCACAAAATGGAAGTTTATGGAAGGTGGAAGCATGGACAGGTAATCTGAGAGGAACACAGAGGCATTGTCCAAACATGTAGACACATGGCTAGGAAAGCCAGAGCCTATCACAGCTGGCCCTGCATATCAAAAGTAAGAAGGGCTTCACTAAGAACAGAAGGGCCACAAGGAGGAGGGAAAATGTGGGCTGACTGCTGGATGGCACAGGGGTCCTGGTGACACAGAACCTTCTTCACATCAGTCTTTACCAGGAAGACCGGCCTTTAGGAACACCAGGTCCTGCAGACCCTGGGGAATTCTGCAGGCATCAGGTGACTGAATATTTAGGCAAACCACATAATTCCATGGGTSCTGATGGGATGCATCAGGGAGCTGGCTCGTGCGATTTTGATAATCTTTGAATCATCGTGGCGACTGTGAGAGGTGCCYGCAGACCAGTGGAAAACAAATGTCACTCCTCTGTTCAATAAGCGAAAGAAAGAGGATCAAGGGGCATGCAGGCTGCTAAGCCTCACCTCATCCAAAGGGGCTGCAGAGCCTCCAGCCTTGGTGATATTCAGAAGTGATCATGGGCAATATGCCTGAGGTGATCTTGGTGAGCAGAAGGGTTGGAGAATGCTTTCCAGAGGTCTCTTCCAAGCTTAGCCACTCTCTGGTTGTCAGGAGACACTCACCCATGGAGTACAAAAGGAGTTCAGACAATTGGCCCATGGGTCATCACTCAGCTGGGATTTAAACTAAACCCTGCCAAGGCCTGTGTGTTCTATCCAGCAATTTGTGTGCTTTCTTCCCCTTCCATTTCACCCCATCATCTTCTGAAATTACACAGTTTAATCAACCTCAGCTAGGCCTCTAATGTTCTCTAACATGCCACTATATTCTMTAAGAGTAGCCCCAAATCTACCACTCCCACATTCTTATTTCACTTTCAYTACCTCTTCACATATCCTATTTTCTTCATATTCCAAGCAAATGACATGAAGACCCTAGCTTTGTTCCACACAGCTTCCCAAATATCATCTTCAAAGAAGGTCAGTTTGAATGCAGCATGGAAATTCCCTTCTTGATGTGTTTATCATCTTGGCTTTATTTTAAAAATGTGCTACATTTTTCCACACATTTCCAATTTGTTCTGGCCCTTTCTCTAAATATCCAAAAATCCTTAAAAAGTATCTTGGATTGTCTTCTGTCATAACTTTGCACTTTTACTCCCTGTAGATGAAGAATGCTTTAAAAGGGCAAATTAGTTATTTTAACTTCCCTAACCGCAATTATTACTAGTTTTTGTGTATGCATTCCAGTCATGCTTAATAAAGAGGAAAACAGCCTTTAAGACATAAGGTGCCATGCTTTGCTTTGTACTTTCTATTTATACTTGCTCAAAAGGTTTCTGTCTTCATTTAAACAGAAATCTGAATTGTGAAAACAAGCACATTTGTTCTCTGCAAAGAGAAACTAGAATAGTTATTTTTTGTGGAGTGACCATAGAAATTGTTTTTAATTCCCAGTCATAGCTGGGCAAATCCATTAAAGATGGCTAAGCTGACAAATGTCATTAATGTCACTAARGGAAAAATGAAAACTTAAAAGACTATTTTTGTTGCTCCTACGTGAACAGAAAACAAAAAAGATGAATTTTTAGGGAACTTTGGTGAGTGCTCAGGGCTGGCAATTAGATCATAAATAAGCAAACAGCTTACTGCTTTGAAAAACAATGTAATTCGTTCAGAGGACACACATTCAGAGGAATTCACATTCCTCTTGCTGTACCTGCTGGCTTTAGCCTGGCAAAAAGCAATAGTATGTAGCTTTTGACATCTCTCTTGTTATTTCTTTCTTGTTTTCAACAAGAAAATGCCTTGCCTTTGTCCCTGCTTTTGCCAGCTAAGTCTACTATACCCTTGTGTCTCTTTGGAAAAGCAAACATCTTCATCATTTCCCTTCATAATCTCATAATCATACTTGACATTTAATTCCTTTCCTCTTCTCATACCATTTCATGTGAAAATCTTCTGTCAGGTCCTCTTAAACTTCCTGGCACTACCCAAAACTGTCCTTGTCCCCATTCAGACTCTTACACAAGCCTTCAGACTGTCTAGCATTCATTTCTGCAGTGCTACAGACTTTTGGTATCGCCAGGTCCCACCGCTCTGATTCCCACTGATGCAGAAAGCTGATACATACATTTTCACAGGTACAAGGCAGCCTGGTCAAATAACCTTTATCCTCACATTAGCTCTCAGAACACCTGGATTCAGTTAAAAAAATGCCAATATTCTTGCTTTTAGACGTCTGCATTGATTTGCTCCAACATTCAAATCTCTGCTGCCTTTCTCTTTTCCTCTTCTTTCTAGGAATGTAGCAACTGCCTGAACGAATAAGTTCAGTTGCATGTCTCTGACAACAGACATTACTGCATGCTTCAGTGAAAGTTGCTGGGGAAAAAATGGTAGTTACAGGTAGTTACAGCTGTGCAGAGAGAGTTTCTTCACAGTCCCTTAAATGAAAATCTGACTTCTGTCCTGAAACATGAGCAGAGACACTTGATTACCCTGATAAGTACACTTGAGCATGTTACAAAAATGAATAAAATTTTAGTCWTTTTTTTTTTTWAATAATATGGTAGGAGTTCAAGTTCTTTGCATTTTTGTGTGTCAGGTTGGCACCTGTGAAGAAGTGTAACTTCATTAGAATTACATAATTGCCTGTCATCATGTGGTTCCTGCTATCTGGAACAGCTTTCCAGCATCTCTGCATACATCCTGATACTTCTTTGGGTATTCAYTCTCAGCACTTCAAACCTGAGCTGAATGCAGTTCTCTTCTCTTGTCTCATCCCTGTACAGCTCTTCTGGTGATTAGCATATCATATTTGCATTTCACACTATTACTATCCAAACATGTTTTATTGTTGCTACCCAAACAGGTCTCATCCTTCAGGTTAAGTCTTATTAGAGTAAAGAACATTTTCCAGTGTCAGCCTTTCTTATTCTGATTTCAGGCACATGGTCATTGAAGAGTAGGAACATCATAATCAGTCTGCCACAAAAAAATGTGATTGTGCAACCAAAGGATCCTGTCATGCTCTGAAGAAGGGCCAAAAGACTGTGAGGGGTTAGCAAACTCTTAGAGGAACAGTGTTTTGGAGACAAGGATGTAGAGTGTATCATGGGAAAAAGAAAAAATAGGACTGTTTCCACACAGAATATTTCCAAGATACCTCTAATGAAGGGGCAAGAATACTTTTTTGACCAGCAATTGGAAGAAGAGGGAGAACTCTGACTGATGTAGGAATAAGAAGAATCTTCAGAAACTGCCAGGACTGGAGGGTCTTCTTTTGGTCATCTTTAACTGATTGAGAGAAAAATTTTGCTACAGCCCTTTATTCTGAAAGTGCCTTTTTCTCCAGTTTGCTTTTTTTTTTTGGTACCCTCCATGCTTTCCTGTACCCTCTTTGTCTCTCTCAGCATGCAAAATCATGAAATTTCGATCTCTGCTTACATAATAACAGAAATTATAATAATAATTGTTGAAACAACAGATCAACAAGCAATGCTAAAATGAAAAGCTGCTGAAGGGATCAAAAGGAGGGGGTGTGGATGAGACAGGCCACGTGATGGAGGAAGCACGGCCTTGTTAGTGTGAGCTGTCAGTACAAATCAAGGGCAGCTCATCTCAAGCTTACTCCTAGCAATCCCAAGGAAAAGCAAGGAAAGAAAAACTGCAATCAAACACAAAAAGAAGCCACTGGTGTTTGAAAAGTTGGTCTCCCCTGAAACTCCTTTACTGCACAGGAGAGGCACTTTAGACAGTGGCACCCAACATACTCAGGACACCCAGAGACACCAAGAGAAACCTGGAAGAGCAAGRGTGGTCAGAAAAATCAAACAGAAACAGCAAAAGAGGGTAGATTTGTTGATTCTGGGAAGGAGGAGGAAGCAGCTCTCAATTAAGTTATCTCTGATATAGATAAAGTTGAGATGAGAAGCATGAAGAAAGAGAATTCTGTAGGATGTTAATAGAACACTCACCTTTCTCCAGGAGAAGCCAAAGGGACCACCTGGAATTACCATAAAAATTACCCAGCTCCATTTTACTGTAAACAAAAACTGATCACCCACTTGCAGCCAGCCTCTTAAGGGAACCAGGGATCCTGTAGATGCTCTGCTGCTCTGTGTCTCTCAGGTAACATTTCAAAGGGAACAAGCAGATCAACCCCCTGGCATGTGCTAACAACAGAAAATTAGCCGGGGGTACATACATATTCCCTTTCTTTCCATRTAATAGGAGCAGAAATGATAAGATGTGATTTAACCAAGACCATGATGCCACATCTGGTTCCACAGAGCTTCTCTGGAGCTTTACCAAACCCTTGTTTTGCAGGGCTTTCCACATTACACTCTGGAATATCATACGGGATTTGTTTCAGTTTAACATTTACACAACTCTAAATGTTTGCAGACATTTTCTGTCACTCAGTTCAAAATGTTCCCCCTCTTTCTCCTCTTCATCACATTACTCCTCATTATATCCTCTTAAACAAGCTGTGTATAATTCCTCTCCATATTAGCTTATACACGCTCATGAAGAACAACATATGCCCAGTCTCTTAATGCTGACATTTAGCAGAACTCTGTGCCTGTATGTATGTGTCTCTCTCCAGCTCCAGTCCTTGTAAATGATATTTACAGGAAATAGAACTCCTCTGACTGCCCACACAACCGATTAGTATCTTAGTTTAGTCATCCCCACGGTTTAGTATCTAGTTACAAGGATCACGACATCTTTGAATATAACTGCACAACACATTTTAATATTTATATCATTTCTACCATGTAAAGAGCAAAAAAAAATGTTTCTTATTAACAGGAAAATAAGGATGAAATGGAGAAGGGGATAGAGAAGATGAAGAGGAAATAAAGAAATGCTTGCTAAGAGCTGCTCTGGCAAGCTGATGCTCACAAAACCCTTGTTAAACCCTAACAGCATCTCTCTCTTGCACAATGAAACAACATGCTTAGCACTACATGTCCCATTGGAATCTTCTCCAGGGCAGCTTCTTCCCCAACAATCACATCAGCTGCTAAACCTGAGTTTTTCTGCCAAGAGGGAAGAATGGAAAGCCCATTGGAATAAGGCAAGAAAGAGAAAGGCAAAAGTGAAACTAGCAAGGCAAGATAAAATAGGGCACAACACACAAGTGAAAGGACAAAWCTCCAGGATTCAAACGAAACAAGCAAATCAAACAACAAGGAGAAGTTTTGGGACTTGAGAGCAGGGGTCTCCTCACCTGACTGGCTGGTGCTAACATTGATGGTGGCAAAGTGGGGAGCTTCTGAACTCAGTTCAGTCACCAAGTTGACGGCCTGGATCTCGAAGGTGTAGTGCACACGGGCCAGGAGGTTGGAGACTTGCACGCGGCTCTCRGTGAGCCCCACCTGGCGCGGCTCGAACTGCACACTGTCCCCACAGCGCACGCACGGCCCCGAGGACCCCGCTGGGCACACCTTGCAGATCACATTGAAGAAAACGTCCTTGCGGCCACCCAGGTCCTTCGGGAGGCGCCAGGTCAGCAGCACGTTGGAGCCAACAATTTCATAGCTGAGGTCACGAGGAGCAGASGGGATGCCTAGAAAACAGAATGAAAGATCAAAATCCCACGGAAGAATGGGAGAGAGACGGGGGAAGGGGGAAGGCAAAACAAAGGGAAAATAATAGAAGAACAAGTTACTTCTTCTCCCCATTCTTCTCTAGTTGTTTCTCTGAGCAAGGCTAAGAAAAACATACTCCTTGCTACATTAAGCACACACTGACATAAACAACTGTATTAGCACATTACAGAGAAACAAATTTATAAAGAAATGTTTTTGTTTCAAGGGTGTGACTTCTTCATTTCCCTAAAAGAACAGCCATTGTTTAGGGAAGTCCCAATCCTTTGAAATTTTAAACTTTACACAAGCTTAGTAAAGATTAGTCTCTACTGAGACATGTAATTCTCTCCTTTGGCACCTAATAGCTCTGAACTCTCAGACTTCAGTTAGCTTGTTCCATCTATTGCAGGAACTGGACACCAGTTTTGCCTGCAATTAYTCCTGGTGCCAGCCAGACTCCTCAATGGCATTATGGATAAACTCTGACAGCTTAAAACCTGCCCATTCTGTGCATCCAACRCTTCCCTTGCTGGCACAGAGACAGTGAGGAGAAGAAGGAAAATGCAGAGGGTCAGAAGAAGGTATGGGGATGAGAATGGGACAAGATACCGAAGCTCAGAAGTGAAAAGCTTAGAAAGGTAGAAATGGGCAGCAGAACTGCACTGTTAAACCTGGGCACAGACACAAAGCAAGAAAGGGGAGGGACAGAGAAGCTGAGCTCAGTAACAGGGAGGGGCAAGGGAAACATTATTTACAGAACATTTCCCTCTGAAGGCTGTAATGAAACGCAAGAATCCTCATTCTCACCATTACTCCATCATCAAGTGCAGGAGCAAAAGGAAGTTTTGGGTTATTTCAAAGAGAATTGCAACCCCTCTTCTCAAGAATCATTTGGGCACATTCTCTCTCATTAACTGCCCTTCTTGCTTTCAAACACTTCCTCCAAACACTTACCAGTGCAGGGAGCATCAGAATTGTCCGAAGCAGAGCGATAGTACCGGTTCTGACACACACATTCCTGGGAACCTGGCAGTGGAGCGTGGCTGTGGGCAGGGCACGGATGGCAGGGGTCATCTCCCACAGATACTTTAAAGGAACCAGGGGTACAGGCTAAGWGGAGAAAAATAAGAGAGGCAAAAGCAGGAAAATAATTAATTTAGATTTGAGAAACATTGTAATCTTATTTACATTCAACTTCTGCTGCTACTGCAGGGAGAAGTTATTGCAGAGAGCTACTACTGAGTTTGGTTCTTTATGCAGCATATATTTTTCAAGCTGTGATTTCAAAACAATTTATTTTATTCTATATGTAAGTGCTTAAATTGATTCACTGGCAGATGAAAGAAAAACAGTCCAGAGACAGCTTTGGCCACCTCAAATAATTGTCTTCTCATTATTCACTCAAAGARCTTTTAAATTGGAGAAGCCAGAGCCCAGCCAAGTGATCTGCCTTGAAAYGTCATACAGTTACCCACACCTCCTTTCCCCCACCCAACACAGCCACAAAATTGGATTTTTTATGCTGCCTACAACAGTTTCATTGCTTGAAGTAATATATACTACCATAGCTGATTTTGCATTAAAACTAAAAGCAGACACTTAAGATTGGCAGTGTTATTTTTTTCCTGTAGGTCTGAAAACSTCCCAGGAATGGATAAAAGCATGTTAATTAGTCAAATTTAATCTGCAAATGTATAGGAACATGTATATGCAACAAGCTGAAACAAGGATGGAAATCCATCCTACAGGGAAAGAAAATTAAAAAATAACTTATTAACAATATGGGAGTATGGCACCTTCTAGGTTTGGCAAAGATGCTGTGCTGAATTGCCTAATAGGAGGTGCTTGGATCTTACACTGAAGTGCTAGGATACAGCTTTTACTATTTTTATATACGTTTTCTAAAGTTGATTTTCTACATAAATAGATATAGCTCTTCTAGATTTTATGGACTAACAAGCTCAGGTGAAAGTTCATTTGCAGCTCACACTTGTTTGTTAAATTCACGATAAAGAGCACTTACAAGGAAAGGGAAACGTTCAGATAGAAGCTTCTGATGTCAAAAGACATAAGGGACACCCTCAAGAGCAGAACTGTTCTAGTGGTTACCATAAGCAGAATACTCCAAAGGATTGTGGACAGCAAAAAGTTATCTAAAAGAAGCAAAGCAAGTAAGAGAAGAATATTGTRTAGAGGCGTTATATGAAATTAGGATCACATGTGTTCAATCCCCTTTGTGGTTACAGGCGCAGTCCAGAAATAACAGCCCRCAACATCTGTGGAGTCCCATCAGGTTTAGGCGTCTTATGATACTTGATCTTCTCTGTCAAAATTCTTGTTGGATGCAGAGCAACCTCCACATGTAAAGACATAAGAGTGGTAGAAACTGGAACAGGTCAGACCATAAAGCGGACTTCAATAACTCTGAATGAGAGCTATTAGACAGGGGAGCACTCAAGAAATTACAGCATTCAGTATGTGATACATTGCCATTTGGAAAGGAAAGGGGAAGAAGAGGCTGTAATTTTTCACATGATGGGTGATGCTAAGAAAAGTGCAATTGCCTTTGCCTTCAGGCCTTTATCCAGCAGAAAATCAAATTATTCTCATATGGAGAGATATGCCCATATGTTTGTATGGCCATGAAAAAAGTATGTAGATTTTATCCACTTTATAAATTATACACCTTTCACTCAATTTAAGGCTSTCTTAACAGCCACAGATGTAGAATATGGTTTTCACACTTCCTGGCAAGTGCACCTGTACTGAAACTACAAGTAGTATGAATGGGAAGTTCTCATCCAAAGCTGCACAGTCATCTAACCAAAATGTCAGGGATCTTTCTTTATTTTGGATTTGAGAATGCTGAACTTGAAACGAATGTCTTTATTTTCTTGAGAGCAATTTTATCTCATCTGTTTTTTCTTGCATCAAACTCCTTGAGCTTTTATCAAGGCTTAGAACTGATGGCACATTCATTCCACTTGTCAAGGCAGACCCTGTAGAATGGGCCTTTTCTTTCATTTAGTATTGCAGACCATATCAAGTAGGACAATGACCTTGCTGCTTGTCAAAATCATGAAAATGAGCAGGTAATGGTAATGTCTGCCATCTATATGATGCTGAAAGGAAATCTGTAGAGAATATAGACTTCACCCAAGCAGTGCAAAAACATATTTTTGCAATCACCCTACAAGGACAGTTCTAAAAGAATTCAGGTAGATTCACTTTTAGCCCAATTGCAAATATATGAAAAGCTAGYGAAGCTGTGAATGAAGTATTTGTCAGGAATTTAGTAAATAAAATTAACTTTAAGATAAACACTTCATGTTAAAATAAACAAACATTTATTTTCACACAGTTCTATTACAGCACAGTGCTATACAGACAATGCTTTGGAACACATATACATAACAAGCACTAGTGATCAAACACACCTGTCTATTCTTGTTTGTTTTCTTTCTTGAGCCTCACAAAATCTAATTTCACTGTCTACGCACTGTGCTTGACAATAAATGCCTGAACCACATGCAAAGGTAGGTTACTGCTGTTTTCCCTAGCACTGTCCCATGTCCAGTGTCTTTTGCTTTGTCACACTTAGGTGATTCCTTGCTACCTACGAGGTCTCTSACTCATTGAGGGAGCATCTCTTTTTGAATGCAATCCCAGAACTGCAAAAGTCACTCAATGAAGAAYTGTTTATTTATGCTCAAGAGTAATGACAGCATGAGAATAGGTGACTTTACAGTAAATTACAGGTTTAAACAAGAAGAATACTTCCATCAACTAAAGTAGCAGGCTTCTGAGAAAAACTTCAAATATGAGGAGCAGACACACACACACAAACACAAAAAAAAGCCAAAAAAAAAACCAATAAAAGCCTAACCACATTTAAGAAAGAACCTGGCTGTTTCTGAAGTGAYTTTTCAGTTGCCATTTACAGCGAAGTACCAGAATTAATGTAAAAATATCTCCCTTTTCCAACATCTCCAGGTCAAATATTCCTTTGTCCTTTAACTTAAGCAGAGTGAAGCAGCCACACAGSCTCATTAACAAACACTCCACTAGACCTAAGTAAACTGAAGAAATAAAACTTCACTGCAGCTGTTCCACCAACAAAACAAATTTCAGTAAAATGTTTGTATGTCCTGTGTGCTAGACCAGAGTTAGACWGATGTCTTGGCTACACCAGGGTGTCTCAGATGGCTTTAGATGCTTCCCTGTGAAAAACTGGATGGAGCTGAGAGCTGACAGCTGGAATAAGCMTCCCATTCAGAGACAGATCTTTAGGGGGGACTACAATCACCCAACCATCTACTGGAGGAGGAACACAGCAGGGCATAAGGATTCCAGGATGTTCCTGGAACGCATCAGGAACTACATCCTGACCCAAGCAATAGAAGAGGCAATGAGGGGAGGCACCCCAGGCTCACAAACTAGGACGGGCTCACTGGTGATGTGAAGGCTGAAGGCGGTCTTGGTCGCAGCAACCATAACATGGTGGAGTTCAAGATCCTGAGCTCAGTGAGCAGAGCAGGAAGCAAGATCACAATGCCRAACTCTGGGAGAGCAGACGTGACCACTTGGGTGATCTGGAGGAGTCCCATGGGATAACACCCTGGAGGRAAGAGTGACTCAAAAAAGCTAGTTCATGTGCAAGGATTACCTCTTCCAGATGCAAAAGCAGTCCATCCCAATTCCAAGCAGGAATCCAGGCACAAAATGCCAACAGGCCTGCATGTTCGAACAAGGAGCTGCTAGCTAATCTCAGGCACAAAATGGAAGTTTATGGAAGGTGRAAGCATGGACAGGTAAACTGAGAGGAACACAGAGGCATTGTCCAAACACGTAGACACATGGCTAGGAAAGCCAGAGCCTACCTGGAATCACAGCTGGCACTGCACGTCAAAAGCAAGAAGGGTCAAAAGCAGCAAAAGCTGCTCTAAGTACGGGAGCAGCTCAAGGAAGAGGGAAAAYRTGGGCTGACTGCTGGRTGGCACAGGGGTCCTGGTGACACAGGACCTTCTTCACATCAGTCTTTWCCAGCAAGACCGGCTTTTAAGAGCCCCAAGTCCTGGGGAATTCTGCAGGCATGAAGATGATCTTTGCCTTCTACTCAGCTTTGGTGAGGCTACACTTGGAGTCCTGTGCTGAGTTCTGGGTCCCCAGAATCCTGGAGACATTGACATACTGGAGAGAACCCAGCAAAGGGCCATAATGATGGTTAAGGGGATGGAGTACGTCTCATAGGAGAGAGGCTGGTGGAGATGGGACTGCTCAGCCTGGAGAGGAGAAGGCTTCCAGCAATCTCATGAATATGCAAAAATAGTTGAAGGGAGGGTGCAAAGAGGACAGAGCCAGGCTCTTTTTGGCATTTCTCAGTGACAGGCCCAGAGGTGAAGGGCACAAACTGAAACACAGGAGGTTCCCTCTGAACACGAGGAAACAATTTTTTACCATGAGGGTGAGCACCGAAGCAGGTTACCCAGAGGAGTTTTAGAGTCTCCCTCCTTGAAGAAATTAAAAAATAGTCTGGACTAGTGCTGGTCAACTTGCTAGAGATGACCCTGCTTGAGAAGGGAGGGGCTAAGGTGCCCTCCAGAGATCTCTTCGAAGTTCAGCTGTTCTGTGTATTTTTTTCTTAAACATAAGCCAATTAAAATGTGTGGATAGAACCCTGTGGTCTTGGCTGCCTCACTGCCAGATCATTCATCACATCCGTGATTGTGGGTGGACAGGGAATAATGAATGGAAAGCTTYTGACACTAGACTACATCTCATTTCAGATGTTCACAAGTGAAATTAGAATAGGATTGTCAGGTTCCCTCTGARGGAGGGGCCTGAGAAAAGACTTTAAACAAGACAGAAAAGTGTGAAGAAAAGCAATGAGGAAGAGCTTCACCTGCCTGGCTCCACTCACGTTACAGAAATCGCGCTTGAAGAACTGTGGAGTGGAATACTGAGCAACTTAGGAGGAAAGATCTCTCCACAGTGATTATTTTTTATTGTCTAGTGAAAAAAAATAATTACTACATAAACCTATAATCTCACGCTGTTATTTCCAGGAGGGATGGCAAMTACAGAGAAACAATCATGCTTTGAAACTCTCA